GCCTTCCCCTTGTCCCCCATGCCGTGGTGCCACGCCAGTCGACTGCGAGAGCAGCGGCTGCCTCCCGACCGTTAAGCACTCATGCGGGCGCGCCGGCTAGAGCCCGCCCGAGGAGCACCTGTGGTCCGGGAGGGTCCACTGCTCCGCTACCAACTGTGGCAGCAGCAGTGACCCCGAGATGGTTTTTGGACTTGAGCCATATCGGCGAAGGAACGGAAATCCAAAGTGCTGAACCTAAATGACAAAATCTGGGCACCAGTCACACAGCGGCGTCGTTGAGGAGTCTGCCACCTAACCCCATCCCGAGGTAGTAGTTGAGCAGGCCAATTGCGCGAGCTGGCTCCTCAGGGTTCGGAGGCTCGAATATGTAGTCGGGGCCTTCTTCAATGCGTCACCTTCCCCAGGCCCGGGCTCTGCTTTCTTCCTAGCCGCTCCCACGTTCGCGTCCGCTCCGTGCCAGCATCAGGCCCTCGCGGCATCCCGGGAATCTCCAGGCGGCCCTGTACTCGTCTAGGATCGCTAGCAGTCGGTTCTTGATTTCAGCCACGATGGCAAAGAACCAGCGACTAAGGCTGCCCCCGTGGTAGAGCAGGTGCTCGGGGCGTTGGGAGCTGCCAGGCAGGACCTCGTCCGAATCGTCCCCGCGCGATCTCGTCCATGAAGGGTTGAGCCACGCCTGCGGAAGGCCCGCCCGCCTTCCCATGGGGAGGGAAGTCGCGCGAGAGCGAGGCGTCTGCTGGGGGGGGCGAGGCCGCCCACGGGCGGCCCTGAGGGACGGCGACCCGTTTGCTAGAGTCCATCCTTACGACCCATTCGCCTGGGATCGCATTTTCCACCACAACTTGAAACATGGCGCCAGGTCCCTTTTGCGGGGCAGGGGACCATGCGAGCGGCATAGAGAAGAAGTGTACTGAGCGCTGGCCTGCCAGGCCGTCGCCACCTCGCAGGCTGCCAGCCATGGAGAGGTTGTTGCAGGGGCTTCCTACTAGCAAGACGAGCGCTTCCGATTTGAGCGCGTCGAGGTACTGATCCCAGAGTGCGTGGCTGGCGCCGCTGGCAGGGCGGAACAGGTCCCAAACGTGGTGAGCCAGCAGCGCGTGCGGTGATCCACCGTCGATGGACTGGGCCCTGCTAGGGTTCTAGTAGTCGGAGACGCGCTGCGCGACCTGCTGATCAAATTCGACTATCCTGGAAGAGCGCAGCAATTCGATGCGGCCCATCCACGCTAGTAAGTCGCTTAGCGCGCAACTCGCGACGCCCCATCCGTCGAGGAGCAAGACGAGGTGGATCGGGCGTCCGCTGCTGGCGTTCTGCCCTGCCGTAATTCCCAGGAGCGCGGCGGCGTGGCCAGGCGTTTGCTGCGTTTGCACTGGCGCGCCCCTCTGCTGGCACAGGTCCACGGTGTGTCTGGGGCTGGCGGCCCCCATGGATCCTGCGAGCCCTCCGCTTCCTGCTCACGCGCCGCTAGACACGGTGAGCCCGTGAGATTCGAGTCCCCGCACCAAAGTTAGAACGGCGTGATGGTCGAGGCCGGCCGCGGCGCACGCAGTGAGAATGGGGCCCCCCAGGGCAACGGGCGCGGTGCCTCTGGCAACGTTGAGGTGGTGAGACCAAACGCACTGAAGACGTCTCGTGGGTCTGGTGAGGCGGTTTGCCCCGCGTTGTCCGTCAGCCTGGCGCGTCGTTCGGGGCAGGGGCGGAAGACCCCCGCCTGGGGTGGCGGCGAGGTCCCCTTTCCCCAGGTGTCTGGTCTGCTCTTTGTCTTTCTCTTGGCGTCGGGGCTCCGGTGGCGGCGGCGCGGCTCGCTGCCCGCCCGCGCGTGCTGGCTCGTCTGCCCCGGGCCCCCGCGCGCGGTCCGGAGGTTCGGGGGCGTGCTCTAGCAGCTTCTGCAGGTCTCGTTGCATCGCGACTGCGCATTTGTGAGGAGCTTCCTGCGGCCCCCCTGGCGGGCCTACTCCTTTCTCTTGCTTCGCCGGCGCGGGTCTGCTGTGGAAGTAGCGCGTCTGCGGGCGTGGAGTTGTGAGCGCCCGCGCGTGTCTCGCCAGACGATCCTGCTCCGAGAATGTAGGCGGCGGAGACAGGGGTTCACGTCGGGGCGTTCTTTGTCTGGGCCCTCGCTGTCGGTTACTGCTAGGCCGCTAAGCGCGAGCAGATGCGCCCGCGTCAAGCACTCCATGGGTTCGGCTGGGCAGCCCGGGGGTTGGGCGCCGCCCCCCGTCGGCTGGTGCGGTTGCAGTAGGGGGCAAGCCGTGTCCAGTGCTAGGTTGGCTAAAAGGTTGCTCGATCGGCCCCCCTGAGCTGCTGGCGCCCAGCAGCGCGGACTCGCTCCAGAAGGTGGAAACGGGGTCGATCGCTTCGCGTTGGAGTTGGAACCTGGCGAAGATCTTGTCCAACGCGACGCGTAGCTGTGGAATGGTCGTGCCCCATACCAGGGTTGCGAGTGCACTGGTCCACTCGCCGCTACTATCGGGTGTGTCGAGCACATGCGGCGCATCCGGGGCAGCTCGTGTCGCCGCGGCCCTAGTGAGCACCCGCTTTGAATGAAAAGGAAACGATCGGAGCCCACCTGGTCCGTGTGGTGCTGTGCATCGATGGGCCCCTGGGGAGCGCCCCAACCCGCCCTCGGGGGTCGCGCGGATTCCGAGCCCCCGTGCCCGGGCCGAGCTTCTTCGACATGGATGAGATGCCCGAAATAAGCACGCAGCTACCGCTCGAGACACCCAAGGAGAGCGAGAAACGCGAGGACCCCAAGAAGGAGGAGAAACCGCTCCAGGACTCCAAGGGGAGCGGGAACGAGACACCGCTCGAGGACGTCAAGAACCAGAAGCGCACCAAGGAGCTGGAGGAGATCCCGAGCAGCAGTGACAACGAGGAGAAGCGAGCCTACCAGAAAGCCAAGCGCCGCAAGCCCGCACCTTCAGCCAGAGGACGAGGAGCCCGCGGACGACAGCGGCAAGCGCCCGAAGCTTGAGCCCGAGCCTGTTGTAGAGGCGCTCTCCGAGCGGCTCCAGCGCAAGTGGGCGCTCGAGGGTGCGCCCTAGCCTTAGTAGGTTTTTCGACAAGGCGCTGGCGCCGAGCAAACAAATTCAAGCGATGTTTCGATCGAACGCCTTAGGATCTCAAGATTCACAAGCGAAACGAGCGTGTCCTGGAGGATGTTTCCAGCGAGACTAGCAAAGGTTGAGGGAGGTCTCAAGCGAAACGAGCACGCTCGTCGAGGACCATCCAAACGAAACAAACACGTTCTGTGAAGACGTCTCAAGCAAAACGAGCAGTAAAAGTCTCAAGCGAAACGAGCATTTCGAGGATGTCTCAAGCAAAACAAAGAATTATTTGACGATGTCTCAGGCGAAGTCGGGGAGGTCTCCAGCGAAACGAGAGATTTGTCGAGGATCTCTCAAGCGAAGCTAACAATTATTTCGAGGATGTCTCAAGCGAAACGAGAGATTTGTTGAGGATGTCTCAAGCGAGACAAGCCATTGTTGAGGATGTCTCAGAGAGGACCAAAAGCCAAGGATGTCTCAAGATATCCTCGGCATTCGCTCCTCTTGATCATCTCTTTATGCTGGCCTCTGGTGGGCAACATTTATAATCCCCCCGCGACCCCGAACTTTATTATCCCTGTGCGTTTATTCTCCGAGGCATCGGGTTAATGAACTCATAATCCCTTCGTGCGATGGCTGGGGCTCACTATGGTCGTGACCGGATGTCTCAGCTATCAGGCCCGGGACTCCCAGTATACATCGCATCTGCCAAAGTTTTCACGAATTCGACTCAGTCACCCGCGCGGCGGCGACGGTGGAGCATCTTCTAGACTTGCATCGTCCTGTGGCGGTGTCCGATGAAGTCCGATGACCAATGATAACACAATTTGCATATGAAGAACTTCAGGTCGACCTGGACGGACTTTCCATGTAAAAAGCAATGTGTGAAGCACGCAAGCGGATGAAGGTCAGGTCCGACCTGAAAATTGCCGGGTCGAGGTTAATGTAGTGAGGTGCCTCCCGAGAATGAAGCAAAACACTCTGGCTAGTTTTCCAGATTTCTACCTCGTTTGGGGCTTGTAGCGAAACTAGGGGACCTGAAAACGTAGCCCCGATGCGGTTGCGCCCCATCACCTATGACTTCATACGGAGCCCAGTGCGCCTCAGGGGGGATCGCGTACAGAATCTGCATCTATCCGCCTGGGCACGCACGACCTGCCTGCGCGGCGATGCCCTGCGCTGACGTTCTCATGTGCGCGTTCGAGGAGACTTCGCAAACGGTCAGTACAGACGCGGACCATACTGGCCAGGACCCCCACTGGCTGACATCCGAACTCGTCGCACACAGATCAGGAACATTTGGCTAGGGGCCTGTGGAGGCAGTTCTATGCAGCGCAAAAACCACAACCGAATGGCGCGACCAGAACTCTGAGCACATGGATGGGACTCCATGGCGGCGACTGGGGGGACCAGCCAGAAATCCCACCACACAGGACGCACTCTTGGGAACCAGATGGGGACTCCTCCGTGCAAGTCATCACTGTTTGGGGGATGATGTACCTAGGCGCAGCTGAATAATCATGCAAAAATGTGTTGACCGTCCACCACACCCTGGACCATCACCACATCCTCTCTTCAACTCCCCACTCCATTCGACATCCAACCATTCCACCACAATCCACCCTCGTCGTTACAGCGGTTGCCGAGGGCGGCCGGGAGGGGGTGGTCTGAGCTAGTGGGCGGTCGTTTGCACGAGCTTTCCCACTGCCCTACAGGTGCATCGTTGGTAGGGCCTGTGGATGGGCGGGCACGCCCGTCGAGACGTGAATTACGCAAATCCCAGAACAACTCAACGTCCCAGTGTCTCCTTCCAGCCCTCCCACCTCTCTGCTGCCCCCTTCCCCCCTTTCCCGTCCCGCTGTTCCCTTCCTCCCTGCCCATCCCTCCTGCCCCCCTGCACGTCCTCACTTCCATGCGTCCATGCGTTATCCCATCTTCCCCCCCCTCCCCAGACTCCTGCTGGTGCATCAGGTGGATCTTCACCAGCATCTCGCCGCGGCGCACAGCTCCAGGGGTGCCCAACAGTACCACGGCGTCTGCGTGCCCAGCGTCTCTCCTGCCGGCGGCGCTGCCAGGCGCGACCAGCGACAGCCCCGCCACAGCGCACACCTGCTCCCAGCATCCCCGCGCGTCCGAGCTGGCCGCCCAGCCTCGCAGCTCCTCGCTCACCGGCGCCCAGCCGCGGGCTAGCGCTCCTGGGTGCAGCGGCGCCTCGTCGCTGGCGTGCCGCAGGGCGGGGTCGCCGACCTGGAAGACGAGGCTGTCAGTGGGTCGTCGGCTATGGCAAGCCACTCGGACCACACGCTCGTCGGCCTGCAGCACCGTCCCCAGGGCCCAGCCAGGTGGATTTCTCTCCGATGCTGCAACGCGTACTTCGACCTCGTCTCCGGCTTCAAAGTCGTCGTCCTGGTCTCCATCTGCCGGCCTCGGGCGCGCGTCGCCACAAGGCACCTCGCGATTCGGCCAAACGTCATCTGGGAAACCGACCAACGCATTCTGGCCGAACAGATCGTGGAGGACAGCATCGTACCACACAGTGGACTTCGCGCCCTTGCGGACCTCCAGCCGTGTGAGGCGGCCTCCTGGCCCTGCCATGGTTCCAGCTGCCGCGCCGTGCCGGCACGACCCCGAGGTCACGGTGGCAGCCTTAGTGGAGAGCGCACTCGTGGGCGCCCGCTAGGGCCGGGGGGGGGGGACCCTGCAGCTTGAGATGCGCTGCATTGGCTAACATGACATTACAAAAGCTGTGTATGCGCACCGGCTTCAGCAGACCATCATATGTAAGCAGTCTGGCCATACATTGACAGCTGTTGCTATGCATGAGCAATCAGGCGTGCCTTCGTGCCAGCGCACAACATATTCGCCATGGACACGTCGCAGCATATACGCACCTCGAACTCCACACACATGCGCATGGCACGTGGGCGAACATAGTCAAACTCGGCAAGGCTCAAGGAGGCAAGCTTTCAGTGGAGGACCCCAGGCCGATCAACGTCGAGAGTGTCTGGTGAAGGGTGTGGGCATCGGCGTGGATGAAGTCGACACCGGCAGCATGATGTCGGGGAACAAATCTTCCAGCGGACGCCCTTGGAGGCGATGGGCACAAGGGGGCCAAGAGGGCGACAGCGGACTTCTGCAACCACCAGGCACTGCAAGGCCTAGCGGGGACCCTGACCTACGCCTATTCCCTGTGCTACCCTGGGATCACCTGCGGGCTGATGGAAAGCAGAGATCGTGGGGCTGTGTCTCCAGATGTGAACAGTGACTGGCCACATCTGCCCCGACATGCTTGTTGGCCAGCGACGCGCAACCACAGGGACATCCACTCGGCCCGCTGGCGCTGAACACATGGGCAGGCACGCGGTGGTTGCAGGGGTGCTGCGAGAGGGCGGTCGGACGGGCTTGGGACTGGGGCCGAAGGGGGAGGGCGAGGCCGGAGAGGCAACGCGAAGAGACGCGGAAGGGAACGAAGCCATGGCTGGGGCGGCGACAGGCAAGGTGCGCGCGGAGGAGGCTGCGGAGCAGGGCGGAGAAAACGAGGAGGACGAGGCGAATGCTAGGCGGAAGAGGCATTAAATCAGAGCCCCGAATCATCAGGGGTAACTCGGGTCAGGGATAACTCGGGTTCGTTTTTCGGGAATCCAAACCCGAGTTACCCCGGACCCGAGATACCCCGGATAACTCGGGCGTCCAGAGCCCCGAATCATCAGGGATAACTCGGGTCAGGGCTAACTCGGGTTCTTTTTTCGGGAACCCAAACCCGAATTACCCCGGACCCGAGATACCCCGGATAACTCGGGCGCCCAATTAAACACCGACGAGGAGGACGAGGAGGCGAAGGTCGAGGAGGACGAGGCACCTCACGCTGAAGATAATGACGAGGAGGTCCAGGCTGCCAGGAAGCCGACAATGAGGCAGACGCGGAGGAGGAGGCACAGGAAACCGAGGTCTACTATTTACATGGATGACCGCATGTGGACCACCACCATGGTCCGGGAATACACTCACATGGTCGAGGTGTGGCACGACTACGAAGAATCAACTCATGGGGCGAGGAAGAAAGGAAGGAGGAGGAGGAGGCGGAGCGTCCTCGGGAAAGTCTGGTCTCCTTACCTTGCCACTCTACGGGCCAGTCGGGCCAAATTGCCTCCAGCAGGGAGGTCCACTGCTTGACGAGCAGCCCTGGCAATCGATCGAGCGACCGAGGCAGGGACCGTCCCGCTGGTGGCATCGCGCTTCTCAAGGTGGAGAAGGCGGTGCAAATGGAACATCAACGCAACTCCTCGAGCCGAGTCCAGCGTGGGGATGTCGAGGGCGAGGGCAAGGAGAGGAGCACTGGGCAACGGACGACCAAGGGCCAACCGCACCAGCTCACGAAAGGGCAGACACCAGAAATAGTGCTTAAGGCTATCTGGGGCATCACAAGCCAGGCAGCATCTACGGTCTCGATTCTGGAGACGGGTGTCTGTGACCCAGCCCCCGAGCCAGGTCTTGATGCACGCACACGGTGCACTTGTTCGGTGCCAAGCCCCTGCGCTGCGCCATGTGTGGGAAGTTGCACTTGTCGCCTCTGGGGCATGTGTTGCGCTTGGCGAACTCGAAGCAAAATGGCTTCGATGCTGGCTTCTTGGGATTCGCAGGGGCTGAAACGATGCGGCGGGAGTTGCCACCAGCGGTCGATGCTCTGGAAGATCTGGTGCTCTTCCAATCCCTGGAAAAGGTAGGCAAAGCCTTGCATCGTTCACCATTGCGACAGTTGCCTTTCTTCCAGGCGGCGCATACATGTACTTGAGAACGGGTCTCGTAGTCGTGCCGTAACTTATTTTGATTATTCCCCCGTTGTTTAAGCTCCAGTACGTCCAGGACGCGCTGCCGGAGCCAATCATAGGTACGATTCGGGTCGCTGATCTTCATGCGCTGGTACTCGTACATATATTGTTTCATCCAGGCATGTCTGCGAATCTGTTCGCGAAACAGAGATTCCAAGATATTTGGATCGGGTGCCTCTCGGCGCTCCAATAGTAAAGCGTCCCAGTCAGTAATGAAACGTTGCAAATCTTCACCTCTCATCCTCAGTTCTTTGAGGCGCTCGAAGTCGTGCAGGTCGTCATCAACCTCTGTCACTTCGTAGGACTGTAGGGTGTGCCAGTAGATCTGGCGCCCTTTGAGCATGCGTCCTGCTTTGTGCTCTCTGGTTTCGATGAGCCTGATTTCATAGCGCAAGTCTGAGGATAAGATGTCGCTGAGAGCAGTAGCGAGTTTGCAATCGATGCTCTCGAAGTCTCCACTGTCTTGTAAGTCCTCGAAGGTACACTCGGGCTGTTCAGCCACGCATAGGAAGGCAGATGCTTTGGACCGTCGCCCTGAGGCGGCTCCAAAGTTCTTCCGTACCTTTTGCTGCCACTCAAGCAGCTGCATGATCTCAGGCAAGACAGGGACTCGGACGGTGTCTGACTCCTTGATAGGAGTAGTAGTATTGATCGAAACCACAGACAATGGTTGTGAGGGTATCGGTACACTGTCGGTAGTTGGTTCTGTGCGCACAGGAGACACGTGGCGTGTCTGTGCTGAAGCTGCCGCGGAGGCTGCTCCTGGTGACGTACGTCGTTGTTGTCCTGCAGAAGCCGGTGGTGCTTCGGCGGACGCTGCCGTCGGCCTGTGCAGGTCGGTTGCAGGTTGAAGGTGAAGTACGGTGTCGTTGGTGTGGTCAATCAGCTGATTTGTCCAACTTGTCATGTCCTCGTATATCTGAGCCACCTTTTGGCGTATGTACTCATCAGTATCCCGAGAGCGTTGTGAATACCAGTCGAGTCGTTGCTCGTAGGCTCGGAGACGGGCGCCGTGCGCCTCCAACTCACTTTCCAGACGTGCGAGGTGCCCCTCAACACGTACCTTCTCAGTATCTCTCTTACGAATAACCTGGGAGAGCTCTATCTGCGCGTGGTCCGCCGCCTTCTCAAACTCCTGCAACCTGTCAGCGAGGCGGGCGAAATCGTAAACCGTGGGAGGAGAATCCAGCTGATCAGTCTGGGCTCGTCCGACACGCAACTCTGCCAGGGCGTCCTGTACGCCAGGAAAACGCTGCTCTATGTCAGAGATCCGGTGAGCGAGTGGCTGCACGACAGCGTTGGTCGCATCAAGCCTTTGAGTGCTGACTTTCTCAGTATTCTGCAACATGCTGATCAGGTTCGACGAGTTTGTGTGTGCTTCGGTGCGAAGCGTCGCCGTAGCGTGGTCCATGTGGGAGCGAAGATCGTTGATCTGAGACTGAACGTCGCCGAGGTCGGTGGCCTCGGCTGGTGGTGGTCGGTTGCAGAGCTGGTCATGGATCTCATCGTGGAGGATCATGACTGCTGAAATGCCTGTGTCGCGTACGATCACAAGCTGTTGCTCCATCTGCGCGAGGTAGTTGCGCAGGTTCTCGACCGTCGCCGATCGTTCACCTGAGTGTGACATCTCACGGTCAACCTGATACTGCAGTTCACCTAAGATGCGGCGATCTTCCGCGATCCTGGAATCAATGATCCCCAAGGCGCCGTCAAGATCTTGGCGTAGAGCAGCAGTGTTGGCAGCATTCGTCTGAACGCTCTGCAGTAGTCCATAGTACTGCCTGGACACGAAGGTTTCAACCTGGTCTCTGAGCTCAGCTATCTCGCCTGCAGCGGACGTTTCCGCCGGCAGGTCGTCTGAGATGGAGAGGTGGGGAGCGTGGGCTTCCCTCTGCACCCTCTCGCGAGGAGCGCATGGCCTCTGCGAGGCAGTGCGCGGGCTCGACCTCCTTTCGTCGCATGGGCCTGTGGCCCCACGACGGTTGCGCAAGGACGAGCTGCGGCTAGGACCGTGTGTGCGGTGTCTCATGAGATGATACCTTGGGGTACTGCGTCTGCGGCTGTGCCGCCACTGGTCTACTGAGTTCCTCGAAGGTGGCTACGTGCTCCGCTACAGGAACGGTGGCAGGGCTGGGCGTGCCAGCACCTGAAGTCCATCGGCGGTTAGCGCGAAAGCGCCCCGGAGTATCAGGACCAGCGGGGCTCTCGCCCGACGCTGTTGGGATTGCTCCCGACGGAGGAGGAGATGGAGGATCGAAGGTAGGCGCGTGGAACTCCCTACTGCCTGCTCCTACTCCATCTCCTGTCCCCCCGCGGGCGGCGCGGCGGTGAAGTTCAGCAGCTAACCGCGCCTCGGGTCCGTCGGAGCTGGGGGGGGGGGGGGGGGGGGGTACCTGGGACACATGCACAGTCCACATTAAGGCTCTCCAACTCGTCACCGAGCCGTCGCGCCGTCGGAGAGCTCGGACGCGAGGCCCCGATGGACCCCTTACGGCGCATGCGCCGCTTGGGTTCCATCGAGGCCGCGCGCGAGATCGCGACGCGGGGCTCGATGAACTGCGAGCTTTAAAGGGCTGATAACCTGTGTATGGGGTTAGAGTACAAAGGTGCAGAACCCCTGATCCGTTGGTAGAGGAAAGGAGGGACAGATGGATATCTTTTCCCCCTGCACGATCAAAGGTCTGATGGATCTATTCCAATACCTGGGCCCAAGCGGCCAGGCGCAGGAGTGGTGAGTACAAGGAGTATATATGAGGGTATTACACGGGTTCTATTCACAAGGCCAGCCGCCGACGTCATTGTCCTCCAGGCGCCCGCCCACCTCAGCCCCCAGGAGGCCTTATCCAGAGGCATTCCTAGTTGGCTAATTCAAGGCGGCGAGGTGGTCGTTGGTCTCG